TTTCAACAAAAAAATAATCATTTGTCAATTTCTCTTGGAAAGATTGACACTGCATCAACTTTTATTTTCTTTGTTATTATTATTTTTTTTATCCTCACCCGAGGACATTTTCCCATTTTTTGTTCAGATAGAGTGCGAGTGGGAGGGGGGGGGAGAGAGAGAGAGAGAGAAACATCCATGTGAGAGATACACATTAACTGGTTGCTTCCCACATGACCCAGACCAAGGCCGGGAACCAAACCACAACCGAGGTACATGACCTTGACTGGAATTGAACCAAAGACTCTGGTCTGCAGGCAGTTGTTCTAACTGCTGATCCAAACCAGCCAGGGCCCAACTAAGTTTTAATAACTATCCAGTCAGTGTGTGTGTGTCACCAGCAACACAATTATTTTGCTTTGATCACTATTCTAATCCTGCATCTTGGATTTGGAACATATTCAATCTTAGTATCATCAATTCTTGAGGTCTTTTCTGTGCACTATAATTTCCTTATTCTTCATCTGAGATTCAGTTTTTGCAAGGATTGTTGATCGCGGATGTGTGGAAAAAGGTTGGATTGGAGTTACTGTCTCATAAAGAAGTCAACAACATCACTGTCAATCATCAGAGGCAAGGTCATCAATGATGTGAGGAATCATCTCATCGCATCTCATCATCACTGGATCACCATAGTTTCGCTACAGTGTATTAATACTTTTGCTACATGTACATTCCCTCCTGCCTGGCACTGACTGTCCTCTGAGTAACCGCAATACAGGCAAACAAGCCACTGGCAGCCAAGAAGAAGCATTCGTGTCTGTCCCTCGTGTGTGTGTCCTGTCTTTCCCATAAGGGATGTTCCTTGCTTATCCCTCGAAATTTATGTTATTATTAGGATTCACTTAATATAAATTTATGTTACTATGAAAAAAGATCCTAGATTTATTGAATTTCAAGTCCTACCGGCAGTTGCCTTGGCAGGACCAGACCAAATGATTTTACAGGTCTTATATGGCCCACCCCTGCTCTAGTAGGACTCTTTGATCTAAGGTTTAGGTCAAAGAGTCCTATTAGAGGATGGCACATTTAATATACATAGAATAAGACACACTCTCAAAGAATTTGATGACTGAGGTGAACTGAAACTATCTAAAGAGGTAATCTACTTTCAATCCAATTTAACATCTGATGGAATCAAACTGTTTTGTCTCTCATCCTAGCTGCCTATCAGAAAAAGCATGTCCTCTCTAAGGAAAAATAATATCTACACCAGTCTCTTCTAAATACAATGACAGTGTATGTATTTTTAAAGACTATAAGTCATAAATGAAGCAGATAAAGATGATCTATAATTAAAAGAAAAATCAGCCAAAAGAAACAGACCCACAAATTTTATGTTGTAATTAGAAGCCAAAAAGTTTAATTGCTTTAACTTTTTAATAGAGAAAAAGGTTAATTGAATAGATGAAAATATGGAAAACTTCAACAGAAAAAATGAAATCTCTAAAGAAAAGCAAAATAATTATTATAGAAAAATTGAGAAAAAAATAATATCTTAAAAACCCCTCTTGGTAATTAATAGAATAAAAGAAAAAAAAAAATTAGTGAGGAAATATAGAATATTTGAACAATTCTATTAACCACCTTGAACCAACAATGACAAATTACAGAATATGAACTATTTTACAAATCAACTAACATTTCTCTAAAAACTCAATGTTAATGGAAAACCAAAACATAAACCTGAAGAAATATAATTACCAAATACAATGCATTAGCCCGGACTAGATTTAGAAAATCAAATTTTAAAGTACATTTTGAGGACAACAAGAAAAATCTAAATTTGTGAAATGACTGTTGTCTTAATGTGATAATGGTATTATAGTTATATAGAACCATGTCCTTATTCTTAGGAGATGTGTTAGGTTGAATTGTTACCTGCCATTTACTTTCAGACAGCTCAGGAAATACTGAGTATGTTTCTCTACATATGAAGAGTTACAAAAGGCACAATTTTTAAATTAAATGTACAACTATAACCTTATATTTTATTTCATTTCTAGTTTTTAATACTTCATATTACAAATAAAACTTTATTATTTTTTGAAAGAAATATTTAGTTCAGCAGTACACCTCATTTTGTATTTCTTAGCTTGAGGGAGAAAATGTATATTATGTAGAAGTCAGATTCATAACCATTTACTCTCTAGAACCAAACACCACCCCCAAACATTTTAATTATTCTGGTTCCTTCCTATAGTTCCCCAACTCCACAGTTCTTTGAGTCCAGAATCCATTAAGGGTACCACCTATTCACTGCTCCTCACCAACATCACATTCAACTTCCTTCTTACATATTATCAAAATCACCACAATGTATGCACCATTACTTCTCTTATCCCGCTCTTGAGTCATTTTACTCATTTTGTTACCAGAGGGATGAGGGAGCCAGATCCCTCTGGACATGTGGGCAGGAGGTTCTTGGGGTACAGTCAGAAAAAAGCATATTCAGGAGCCCCCAAGGGAGAATGAATAGTTTTTATTAGCATGGGATTATATTTCGGGGGTTGTAGCGTGGGTACCCTTAGTCCAGTCCTGGAAGAGGGGCAGTTGTGGGCTTAGCAAAGTTAGAAATAAGGACAGAGTCCACAGTGTCTGCTCTATAATGCAGCTGGGTCCAGATCAGGCATCAGGCTAGATTTAGTCCATTAATCCACAGTACAGTTCCCACATGGTTGTGGGCCATGTAGGGAAATGCAGGGTGTGGGAGCCCTGAAAGCTTTCTGGTACAGGCAGAAAGGGAAAAAGAGAGACAGCTTTCCTTTGTCTAGGAAATTAAATATTCCAGTTTTGAGCCCTTGTAGTGGCCACACCTATTCTGGCCCACTGACTTACTCCCAGGTGTGATGGACAGGTAGGCACATCCTGCATCACTCAGAACTTACTGGGCATGTGTCTAAACTGCCTTTGTTCAGTCCCTTCCCCACCGATCACAATGAAACAGACCTAGAGTATTAAATTAGCTAATCTTCCCTTTACGCATTTTGTGTTAAATAATAACCAGATTATTTCAAGGATATCAATCTGAACATTAATCCTACTGCATTGTCCTATGCAATCACTTCCCCACTATCCAAGAAAAACTGTTTCACTATAACTTTGTGTCTTAACACAGCAATTAATTTGTAAGAATTAATGACATTTTAAAAGGCTACTAAAATCCTATCACTCCTCTTCTTAAAACATCCAATGACTTCTCATCTCATGCAGAATAAAAGCCAAAGTCATCACAATGGTCCACAAGCCCCCACAAAATCTAGCTGTTCATTATCTTATTTTTTACCATTCTCTCCCTCTTATTCCCGCTCTACCACACTGGTAGTCTCTTTGCTGTTACTTTTTTTTTTTCATTTTTGTTACAGATGTTTCTTCCTTTTTCCCCATTAACACCCTCCTCCCCATCCTCCCCACCCTGTCCCCAGCTTTGTTGTCTGTGTCCATCGGTTATGCGTACATGCATGTAAGTTCTGTGGTTTATCTCTTCCCTGCCCCCACCACCCCCTCTTCTGAGGGTTGTCAGTCTGCACCCTACTTCCACATCTCTGGGTCTACCCTATTCTTCAGACTGTTATGTTCATTATATTCCACAAATCAGTGATATAATCTGATATTTGTCTTTCTCTGGTTAGCTTGTTTTACTTAGGATAATACTTTCCAGGTCCTTCTATGTCGTCTCAAAGGATAAGAGATCTTTCTTTCTTACAGCTGCATAGTACTCCATTGTGTATATGTACCACCCCTTTTTTATCCATTCATCTACTGATAGACACTTGGGCTATTTCCAGATCTTAGCTATTGTAAATCGTTGCTATTTCTAAAACATGCCAGCATGCTCCTGCCTCAGGGCCTTTGGACTTGTTAGGGCTTGTTCTCTAACTTCCTTAAGGTCTTTTTACACATATCATTTCAGTGAGGCCTTCTCTGTTTACCCTGTTAAAATTGTTTTATTTTTCCTTACTTTATTTCTCATGGCATTTACCATTTCTGACCTATTATATATTTAATTTACATATTAGTTTATTGCCTCTAACTCCCACTAGCATGTAAGCTCCGTGAGAGCAAGGAGTTTGTCTATTTGGTTGATTTTGTACTCCTAGTGTCTGTGCTATGAATAAATAGACAGTAGATAACACTAAAAAATTATTTCTTAAATTAATAAATGAAAGAATTAATTTAAATACATCTTTGTCTAGATCATTTGTTTAATGAATGAAATAGACACTATTACAGAATTTTTAAATGAGATTAACATAGAAATTTTGAATGAAAAATAATTGATATAAAATATAAACCCAAAGTTATCATAAACTTACTGTCCATGTAGAAAGATAATGCTTTGTTTTCTGATAATTCATTTTAAAATTCAGTGAATATACTTATTCATTCTTATAATTTTACTACCTTGAGAGAACTGATCATCTGTATTTCATTTTCTGATGTTTTTAACATTATAATCTATACTAAGAGAAAATAAATATTAGCTGAAGTCAATATAAATGCCAGAACACCCTGAATCACACATCAAACATTCAAGATTTTAAAACTTTTAAGATGTTTTCAAATTTTAAATTATACAAAAGTACTCACTTTTACTTGAATCCAAATGTAGATATTTATCTAAAGACATTTCTATACTATAATTTATTAATGATGAGTCATGTTAAATTTTATATTTTATCACATTAATGTTAAATATGTTCAATGTACTTAAAGCTATTCTTTTAAAAATTTGAAGCACAAAATTTAAAGTTATGTCAAACAAAAACATTTTAATTTAAAAAAGACAAATGAAATCAATCTGGAAAAAGTGAAGCAAGAGGTGAGAAGTTGTTTAAAAGACATCGACTGTTTTCAAACACTTCTATTTTGGTACTATAAATTATATATAGCATTATATAAATTTGAGTGTGTAAACAATAAATTAGAAACCAAACATGTTAGTTCATAAAAACACTTACCTACAACACCATTCAATACGACCTTCACCTTCACAACGTTTTGCCCAATGATTAGCTGCCAAATTTTTCATTGCAACAGCATATTCACAAAGTGTTTCCTCATCCTCACAATGTTCTCGCCAGATCTTGTCAAAATCTCCCACTAAAAATAAAGGAAAAAATGATTAAGTTAACCACACTTTTGGATTTCTACATACTTATCAGTTCCCTATATTTTAAAGGGGTTGACAGATGAGAGGGTGACATAAGTTAGCAAGCAAGTAAAATATTTTTATTTACACACTTGGACTTACTACTTTTGTAATCCTAGGGCAAAAATGTTACTAAAGAAACTACCTTGGAAGCCTCTCCAAAGTTTTGAGTCTTTTTATTTTTTTAACTTACCTTTATTGTTGAATGTATTAAAGATGTTCCTCATTTTTCCCCATTGACCCCTCCTTCTTTGGTTTATTTCTTCCCACTCCCCAACCCTCTTTCCCTTTGAGGTTTGTCAGTCTAACAACCAATTTGTACTTCTTAATCCCTTCACCTTTTCCACCCATTCCCTGAACCCCCCAACACAATTTCCCGGTATCTATGAGAATGTTTCTGTTCTGCTTGTTCATTTTGTTTGTAGATTCAAGTGTCAATAGATATGCATTCACTGCCATTTTGTATGTTTATACTTTTTATCTTTTTCTTCAAGAAGACCCTTCAACACGTCATATAATAATGGTTTGGTGGTGGTGAACTCCTTTAGCTTTTCCTTGTCTGGGAAACTGTTTATATGGCCATCGATTCTAAATGACAGCTTTGCAGGATAGAGGAATCTTGGTTGTAGGTTCTTGTTTTTCATCACTCTTAATATTTCTTGTCACTCCCTTCCGGCCTGCAAAGTTTCTTTTGAGAAATCAGCTGACGGTCTACTGGGAACTCCCTTATAGCTAATTAACTGCTTTTCTCTTGCTGCTTTTCAGATTCTCTCTGTCTTGAACCTTTTGCATTTTGATGATGATGTGTCTTGGTGTGGGCCTATTGGAGTTCATCTTGTTTGGGCCTCTCTGTGCTTCCTGGACTTGTATGTCTGTTTTCTTCACTAAGTTAGGAAAGTTTTCTGCCATTATTGTTTCAAATAGGTTTTCGATTTCTTGTTCTCTCTTTTCTCCTTCTGGCATCCCCAGGATGTGAATGTTGGCACGCTTGAAGTTGTCCCAGAGGCCCCTTACACTATCCTTTTTTGCATTCTTTTTTCTTTTTGCTGTTCTGATTGGGTGTTTTTTGCTTCCTTATACTCCAAATCAATGCTTCTTGGCTTTACCTACTCTACTATTGTAAATTATTTTTTATTTCAGTTGGTGACTCCTTCATTTCTGACTGGTCCTTTTTTATGCTCTTGAGGCCCTTGCTAAGTTCCCTGAGGTTCTCACTAAGTCCACTGAGCATCCTTATAAGCATTGTTTTGAACTGAGCATCTGTCAGGTTGTTTATCTCCATTTCACTTAGTTCTTTTCCTGGAGTTTTGTTCTGTTCTATCATTTGGGACTTGTTTCTTTGTCTCCTCATTTTGGCTGCCTCTCTGTGTTTCTATGTATTACTTAATGAGATGTGTGGGGCTAGCTGAGACCAGATTGTGATTGTTTGAAAGAATTTAGGAAAACCTTTAATAGGATCCAGGCCAATTCTATGGTAAAGCAACTGGCAACAGCTTGAGTGGGCCTGAAAGTTGGGTGAGGTGGGGCCTCAGGGAGTCACCAGGGTGAGGCCAAGAGTGTGAGCCAGGTTGCTGGAGTTCCAGATTTTGTGGCAGTCTGCTGTCACAGGGAAGGTCTCACCAAAGGAACAAAAGCCTCTGACAGCACATCTGTCCAGTAAAAAGCTGCCTCTGTACCCACTGGTTTGTCCAGCCAGAAGTTATGGGGACTTCTCTTCCTGGCACTGGAACCCTGAGCTGGGCACCTAGCGTGGGACACAGACTGCTCAGCCCTCAGGGAGGACCTTCCCAGCCGAGGTATCCTAATTTTTATCCACCACTCATGTGTGTGGGACCAGCCCTTTGCACCTCCACCCCTGCTACCAGTCTTGATGCACCTTCTTCTTTAATTTTGTAGTTGTAGGACTTCTATTTAGCTTGATTTCAGGTGGTTTTGAATGATAGTTGTTCTGTAGTTTAGTTGTAACTATGATGTGGTTGTGGAAGGATGCGATACCGCGTTTATCTGCGCCGCCATCTTGACTGGAAGTTCTCCAGAGTTTTGTCTTTATAAAATGTTCTGAATAAAAATTATAAACTGACTACATTATCTGTCCACTGTATTACTTCCAGCTACTGCCTTAAAAAAAATTAAATCAGTCTTCACACTTAATATGAAATCTGAAACATCAATGTGAGTTCTGATAAAGAGAGGTATGAGCATGCTATGGGAAAATAAATGACCTTAACATAATTTTAAGTGTAAAAGAAGAGTATACAAAAATGATTAAAGTGGCTTCATTCATTGTCCTTAGACGTAAAGATTTAAGTTCTCTTGCCTCATGTTCAAATGTAGGCAATTGTGTGGTGATAGAATAAACTTAAAAACAAAAGAGCCAAATTTAAAAATGATAATTATATTCAAATTTTTCTCTCAGGTGAGACTCTTAGATTCTAATATATAGGAGGGTTTTTTTGTTTCTTAGCAAAAGAAATTGTAGTAGTTCAACTATAACAATACTTATCTATTCAAAATTTAAAAACTAGTGGTTATTTTAAGCACAGATTTTAATAAGCACTGAGTTGAAAAGCAAACTAACAGCCTTCTAGTTTGAATAAATCAAAAAAATTAATAAGGGTACAAACATACCCTCACATACATAGTTGAGTGAGTATCAGTCTCAGTCTTGGCCTGAACACTGATTTGAAACTAAAAAGTATTTTTTCTTTTGGGGTGTTTATATTCTTATACAACAATATTTTCACTAATCACTTATATTTGTGAAATGACAGGGCTCTCAATTTGTTATATAACAGGCTGGCAATAATTGTACACTAAAAAGCAAACAAAATTTTTCTAAATACTCGGAGAAAAAATCCTCCTTAGTTTTCCAACATTTTCAGATGTAATTATTTACCAGTCTCAATATAGAACTACAGGAAGTAAATTGTTGAAACAAATATTTTGATTAACAATGCTTTACTAAACCTATGATGGTATATAACACTATTCCTGACTTTACTCATCAGATCTAATACCAAATGGTTCATTAAAGTATAATATCATTATAAAAATGCTTTATCTTTTGTTGATAGATTGCTTCAACTCTAAAAGGACCTTTGTTTGAACTTACAAGTTTCACTGTCCTGTAAAATGTATATATTATAGATAAACACATAAATTTACATTTGCTATTAATAGGAATCATTCAAACAAAAGTTCTATGATCCAATATGTTTGAGAAAAGCTATATTTAACATATTTAATCAGATTTCCTTTCTACCAAACTTCTTAGTTTAGATTCTACAGAAGGTACAACTTAAGATAAGGACCTGAATACCAAGAGTTAACATGGAAGAGAATCCTAGGAAACAGGAGTGATGGAGTGGGAAAACAAGCCAAAGAAGGAGAAAATGCTAATACCAGAATGTATTACTGAGGTTGCTGCTGTGGGCAGCAGACAAGCACATAAAAGTCCTCTGGAATTGTTCACCTACAAGATGAGAGGCTGGAACATTTATTTATCAGTTACAATCCCCCATTAACTAAGGGTTGTTAACAAGCTGTACTTCTATACTTAGGCACTTAATAAGGGAACATCCACAGTGGGCTCCATGAGTGTTGGAGAAAGGTAGAAAGTAGAAAAGAAACCAGCACACATTTAAAGTGAAACACTGTCAGGGCTGGGTGTCTCTGAGCTCAAAGTGTCTGTCTACCACAACTGAGAACCAAGGATATGTTATGTGGACCACCAAAGGCATCTATTACTACATGACTGTATAGTGTGAAATTCAATTTATTCTACTAGCTATGAGATACAAAGACAAATGTACATATACAGAAACTTGCTACCCTTAAGCTTTTTGGAAGACCTCTAATTTTTCACACTTAACAAAATTATCTTTAAATACTGTCAATTTCATATGAAGTTTAAAGGCTTATTATCTGCCCCTCTTAAGTTCTGAGGAAGAATTCAAAATCTATAACCCTATCCAACTTAAAATAATAGCAGACAACTTCAATTTAATGTTTTCACTAACATTTAAGAGTATCCAGACTCCAAGTATACTGAAATTAACATGTGATTAGTAAAATGTAATACATTTAAATATATAATTGAGACTAAACAATGCAATTGCATATACTTTTTATTCTTTCAACAAATTTTCTGAAAAAATACTCAATTTCAAACACTATAGAGAATAATAAAGTTAATTGAGCAAGTACTGGCATCAAAGAAAAGGGAAAAGATGTAATAAAAATGTGGTAGATGCTATAACAGCAACATGAACCTGATATGTTCCCTATAAGTCACCACCCTGGATGCAGGATTTTTTTTTATTTATTTATTTATTTATTTATTTATTTATTTATTTATTTATGTATTTATGTATTTATGTATTTATTTATTTAACTTATTTATTTATTTTTTGAGAGAGAGATATAGAAACTCAATGAGATTGGCAGCTGTCTCCTGCACACCCCTATTGGAGATCGAGCCCACAACCCAGGCATGTGCCCTGACCAGGAACTGAACTGGCAACCTCTTGGTGCATGAGCTGACACTCAACCACTAAGCAACACTGGCCAGGCCATGGATCTAGAATTTTTGAATCATATATTCATTAAACAAAATGTTTCAAATCACACTACCAGGTATACACTATGTTAAATGTCTAGTGGTTTCAAAGTTGAACAAAAACAGTTAGCAATTAATTACGAGAAAATTTCACTTTCCAGAATATCATTAAAACCTTATTAAAGTATTTTTAAATAAAGTTATTAAACAAAAGTAGAATTTAAAATTTCAGTTGATTTTTTATAACAACCTGTTATATGGTTTTTTCACAGCACTCAAAAAATGGTATTTACCCTTTAAACAATACATTCTCAAAATAATTTATAAACTGAGTTCTAAAAAGCCAAAGAAAAGTTAAAGTTAACCACATATTCAAACTGCGTGCACACACAC